ACACACGGAATATGCCAGAATCAGGCCAGACAAAATTCCCCCAAGACGGTAAGTGTGAACTTGAACTTTCAAAACTGAAGTTGACAACGCACTGGGCTTTGCTTTGCAGGGAGCAATCTGTCAGAAAAATGGGCTGGGTGATTAAATTGCAGAATCACCGAAACAGAGAGAATGGAAACACCTGAAGGGCAGTGTCTGAAGAAGTGACAGGTCTGAAACACTTCTTCCTTATCTTGATACCTGTTTTTTCCTTCAGTCAGATATATGGAAAACTGCACATGCTATGCAATCAAAACCGCCCCAAATTAAGTAATCTTGTAGCCAGTAGCAATAATTCAGTGCCCACATTGCAACAGATAATATGACTGCACTGCTGTGGGCCAGCATCAAGTTGTCGTCTACAGTCGCCATGGCTTCCTGAGGAGTTTGGGGCTCTGGCTTAAAGAAGACTACACCAAGATGCTAGCACAGGAAAGCGAGCACACTCCTCTCAGCAGTCAGGGTGGTGGAGTCAAGCAGGTCAGCACGCGGAAAGTGGCTGTGCTCTGCAGTCTGATCACCAGACAGCTTTACCATCGTGTAATTTCCCAAACCTCAGTGGAGACAACAGTAGATGTGGTTTTCCACAGGTTATGACCTACAAGAATCAGAACCTTGAAAAAAAAGCATTGCTGGGATTTGTTGGATGGAAGGGAATTAAGACAGGGGAATGAAAATAAGAATATCAAACCACAGCAGCAGAGGACCAGTGTCATGACTGCAGCTCTTCTCCTTCGGAATAATCACCCTTGGTGAACAAGGAACACCTTGAGACTTAATCCTCTAAAATTAGTACATCTGGAGACAAATAGAATAGAAGCCTATATATTCAGAATCCAAAGGAATGCATGTATTTAAATATTAAAATCATTATTACATTTTTTTTTTTGGCATCTGCTCCTTTACTCTATAATTTAAAAATGGGATATAGTAATGTTAGGCAAGTTCATGTCAATATGGTATGACAGAAAAAAAAAAAAAGTAAATGCATTTCGAGAATATTTCAGCCAAAATATTTCCAGGAGAACCAGGAAGTAAGGGAGTATTTCATATAATTCTATTTTTAAAAGTACCATTTCATCTGGGTTATCTGTATAACCTTGCTCTCTTGGGGTCAAATTTAAAACCAGAATTGCTACAGAGAAAGGCACCTAGGATGAGAAGGAGATTAAAGAACTTGTTTTACTAGAGGAGATGAAGTCTAACCTGAGATGCAAAGATCACAAGTGATGGGGGCAAGAGAAAGGAAACACAGATCAGTGGCACGGCAGGGGAGAGAAAAAGATATTAAGGGATAATAACAAAAAGAATAATGAAAATAAACTGACAGAACTGGCATGAAAAGGTATCGGAAGGAAATTAGAAGATCCTCAACCATCAGCCTTTACAGTAGAAAGCCCGGGAAGGCTGAAGGAATAGGAAATAGCCAGCCAGCCTTCAGACAGTAACACAGCCAAATCTGACCACTTCCCCCCCATCTCCTGCACCGAACCTGGGGCTGCCCACATGCCTCCTGCTTCACCTGGGCTGGCCTTCATAAATAAGATTGCTAAAAAATCACTTTGGGGCTGCTTAACCTACTTGACACAAAAAGCAATAAGGACTTTCTGAATTGCTTCAAGTATTAAATGCTTCGGAGCTATTTTTATCATACTTCCACATTTAAAGGAACACTATTGCATTCAATAGCAGAAGAAGTTATCATTTAGGTTGTTAATAAAAGCTTGTAAGACTATGTCCCACAGCCTACATAAAAGCTTTCCTTTTCTGTGGAAAGACTTCCATAGAACCCCTGAAGGCAATGAGCTCATATAATCCAAATAAATGCATCAAGCTCCAATTTAAAAGTTATATTTTCTGCTCAAGGTACTTCAGCTGTGGGTCTGTTCCAAACATCACTCTGCTGAATTTCAGCATAGAATTACTCACAGAACAATTATAGAAAGTTATTCTGGTAGCAATACTGTCCTTGAGATAAGCCACTCTTATTCCCTCTGTAGTTCTTCTTTCTTGTGTTAACATGGTGCAGTCAGTTCCTCTCTGTAGCAATACTGTCCTTGAGATTAAGCCACTCTTATTCCTTCTTGTGTTAACATGGTGCAGTCAGTTCCTCTCCCTTCCCTCTATTCACTTGGCCACACAAGCAACGTTGCGGTCATCTCCTCTCACAAGAGAGGACCTTGGCCATGCTTGAAGCCCTCCTCATATCCATCCCTGTTCCAAACAGTTTCTTCCAGCAGGATGCCCAACTACGTCTTTGTCCCTCCTTTCTTCAAAACCATCACTGCTTAGATACTATGGTCAACAACCTCATAGATACTTGCTCAAGTCGCAAGTAATGGATACATGAAAAACTTTGGGAGAAAACTGTTATGAAACCATGGCAGAAGACCATTTGTAATGAGTATTATTCACAACTGATTCTGAAAGAAAAAACCAACCAACCACAGCACAGCAAAACACACTCCTGTGAGGTTTTAAGCCATGATCATTAAAAAGCTGGACATTGTTAGACAGACTTAAAGATGGTTTTCCACACACTGGTGCAAACAGTTGCGCAGAACAGCGATTGCTGGTGACAAGCTGCTACTGATTGCAGCTCTCCTATTTTCTTTAAACAATTTGTGGAATAATTCCACCTTTGTAATATTCATAGAATGACATATTACAGCCTTGGCCTAAGTATAACACAATGACCTCAGGCTACTGCAGAAAGCAAGAGTTTGCTTTACAGTTACAGCTGAAATAATTTAAAAGACACTATGAATGCATAGCTGTCTCCGACTACAGTGGCTGTGGATCTGGAGACTGGCCTCACTTCAAATGCAGGAAAGATTTCTTGAACAGAAGAAAAAGGAGGAAAAAAATTAAATAATACGGGAACGATTTGATAAGAAGCTCTTAGTGACCAGAAGTCATGATGTAATCCATGAGATGTGGACAACTAGAAAATAGGCTGCAAATGTCTTGAACCTACTTTTGAACTCAATCAAAGTGACAGAAATTTGAGGAAGGTGTTGGCCAGGAAGGGGAGAGGGAAAAGTGTTGCCTCAGGAGGATGACACCATGTTTGCTGCCTCCCAGCTTCAGCAGAAGCAAGCTCATCACACGTACCCTCTGCAGCAACGTCCTCTGGCAACAACTGCTGTTCCTGGTGCAAACCTCCCACTGACTTCAGTGGGAACCACATGAAGCCAGGGAAGAAAATCCTGGCTTGACTGAAAGCAACAAAAATTTTGATAAAGCCTTCAAAGGATAAGCCTGCACTAGGGAACCATATTTCAAACAGCCTGAGGTTTCCCTTCAGTGCTAAATTTCATTAATATATTAAAAGGAAGATACACCTACATATCCAACCAGAAAATTCAAGCTGGCTCCAATAATTATGCTGGAAATATGCTAATTCACACCAGCCAAAACTTTGCTCCCTTTACATGCTGATGTTAGCCATCTTGAAAAGAACTAATTCTACAGCTAAAGCATACTGCTTCTTACATAAATTAATGGCTATCTTTAACGGCGTAACATGAATTATCTGCATGTTAAAGCAGGTTGTAGGAGCAGAAACACAACCTCCATAATTTGGTAGTGACAACAATTAGGAGGGAGGGAAGGGGAGAAGAGAAATAAAAAGAGCAAGAGTGAGCTGAAACCAGGGAATAAGTATTTCCTATTCAAAGCATCTCAAAGACCTAACAGGGGAATAAGAATTTGCTTGACACCTCACCTTAAAAAGTGTATGCCTGTTTCAAAAAAACCCCAACCAACCAACCAACAAACCCCCAAACAAACAAAAAAACCACCAAACCAAAGGAAAAAACCAAAACCCAAACAAAAAAACCCCTACTACGCAAGTTGAACCAGCCTCTTGACATTTAATGCACATTTGTAACAGACTAGCTTTCAAACAAGAGAAGGGACATCTGTAGGAGCCACACAATGAAGGCTGGTGAAAGCCATTTTAAGCTTTTTCCTAAAATCTGTTGCTTTGGTGGCATGGGGCGTAATCTGTCCTTCAACAAAGGGTAAATTGAATCAAACCATTTGCCTTCAGGAGAGCTGAACAGGGTAAGTGAGCCCAAGGATAAAGGGACAGAATAGGAGAGCTGGTCAGACAAAAATAAAAGTGTCACGGAGGATGGCATCATGTATTTACAAAGGAGTTGAATTTGGATGGACACAGGAGCACAAGCTCTCCTCAATTTTCAACTGTTTCCTACTTTTGCTGGCTGTCAGAAGGGGTTCTTAGCCCAGGTTTCATTGTGAGGGGATTGCTGCAGACGTTTCCTCCACACCGCCTTCAAGATTCATCTCCAGATTAAAAGTATTTCCAAGTGCCAGCCTGAATAAACCTTGACTTCATTTATTCAGAGTAATAACGACATCCAGTGGCCACCAAGTTAATCTCAGCCTACAACAGCAAGATAACCTCTTATATCAGAACAGATAATCTCTTTCCATAAAGGTATACGTTAACTCTGCTCTTCCACCTCCTAGTCTAAAAGTAGGAGTGCATTACAAGCAACACTGTTAACATTGAGCAGGAGTCTGCCTATTCAGGTCCTCATACAAACTCTAACCAAGCCTTTTTCAGTTCTATCTCACATTGGGAAACTGCAAGTGAGAAACGCAAAAACTCTTAAGCACTTGCATGGTACTCAAAGAAACTGGAAGCCAGCAACCATAAATGTACATCAAGAAAGGGGAGTGGGGTGGGAAAACCTGCATACGCACACACACAAGCTGCTCAAGCTATTAAAACTGCTTGCCACATCTCCCAAACTCAGTCACACGTACAGGCTTTAAAAAGACATGGAAGAAACCACTTTTCAAAGTGCTTCAAAAGAAAAAAACAATGTTTCTGGTTTCCATTTTTGTAAAGAACTCAAGCAAAATACAAAAATATAACACTTTAAGCATGCTTGTGTTCCTTCACAGAAAACATCTCTTAAAATACTTACTTGCCCAAATATTTCTGGCAGCCCCAAAACTTGACCAGCAAAAACACCAATACAGATGAAAATTGCTGTGACCTGACCCAATGAACCACGGATTTCCTTAGGAGATATTTCACTCAAATACATGGGAAGGGCACTTAGAGAAATACCTGCAAAGGAAGAAAAAAAAAAAAAACATATACTAAGCCAAATTGCCTTTTCATTATGCCAGGTACAAACCAAACATCTACTGAAAGGAGTCTGAGTGCTAATCTGCTGACAAGACTGGCATAAAAACATGAAGAGAACATAATTAATTCATATTATCTGTGGACAGATATATCTTCTCTTCATGCCTAATTCCTCTTGCACCATTTAACAACCATGCGATTGATTATCTGTTACAGATCTACAGTGATGTGCGTAGGCTGCTATTTGATGGGAAGCACCAAAGGTTACTCAGAGATGAGAATCACCAAGAGAACAAATTTTATGTTTTAAGTTTGTTCATTTCAAAGCAAGCAAAAATCACATTAGCAGTGATGCAGGTAGGAAAAAAAACTCCAATGCATCAGGCAGAGAGAGCAGATGCTGTCAGATGAAATATTTTTACTGTAAAGGGTATTAGCAGATGTTCATCTCAATACAGGCTTACAGCTGCAATGAACTCTTAATAGCAGGCGTAAAATAAGGGCGAGAATGCTGCTCAAAGCCAGGATAAAAGACATGCATGACCCTGGTTAGTACAACAACAGTATTTACAAAGCTCCTGAAGTTTGGTTGTTTGGTGGTAATCTGAGACAAAAATTAGCGGTCAGCACCAAAACCACCCATGAACTTCACATTGCAAGCGATGGACACATCCACTTTCAAACAACTGCTTACTAACACCACAGACAAAGCCTGCCAGGAAGGGGGCTTAGCAATGCCAAGGTCAAAGCATGCTCTATTGCTTAGAGTCAAGATAGTTTTACCCTCTCAGTGTAATTACCTAATTCATCAAGTCTGTCTCCATGTTAGGTAAATACCTCTCACCATCTACCAGTCTGTGAAGTTGCGGAGAACCTCACCACTAGCTGCAAGACTATTTGGGTGCAGCAGTGCCTCCATGATTTACTTTTAAACCAGGAAGACCATGTTGCTAGGATCGAATGATGATGCAGCAAACCTTCCCCTTAAACCTACAGGTATTAGCATGGGATGCAAGAACTTCTAAACACGAAGCAGCAAGCAGCTATAATAAATAGACTGTACCCTCCTAGCCACAGGATTTTCATGGCATGGAGACAGAGACACTCTGCCAGGGCTGGAGGAGGGAAGGGGGAGGAACAAGCAGGGCGGCTAGCATTCATTCCAAACATCAGATCATCCAACCTTCATTCTGCTGGTTTGCCCCAGTGAAATCAGTGTGGCTAGTCCCTGAAATCCTCTTTAATGTAAAGAAAGATCTAACTGGGGGAGAGGAGAAAGATTACGCATGGTGCCAGCGTTTTGAATATGTACAGCGTGATAAAAGCTTACCTGCATCAACACCCATTATAATGCGTCCCAGTATGAGCATTTCAAATGACCCCACCAGCAAGGAGAGGGACATCAACAAGGCAGCTGTCACTGCAAACACATTATTGAGGAGCAACGTGCATTTCCTAAAAGGAAAAGATATTTTATGTAGATACCAGCACCAAAACAGTTAAATCTAGTCATATTGAAAGCACACTAGGCTATTATTCTTAAATATCCATAAATAAAAGCAGAAAGGGCCTAACAAATGCTGCCTCCTACATGTTGCATAGAGCTCCAAAATACAACACTATACCCAAATGGATACAGTTCCAAACTTATGCCACAGCTTTAAAATAAAACATACCATAGTTCACTACAGAGCGGTACTTCAAAGGCACGGCAATTAGCCATCCTACACGTCCTAAGAACCCAAGTGCCGTGTCCGAGACTCTGCATATGAATATAAACAAGTGTACTCTGGGTAAATGTATGTATGTAGGAGCCAGAGAATACACTTCAAATAGCAATAAGCTGATATCACTATAGGCATTTTTATGTTACTTATAGTTTTTGCCATTTTAAGAACTTCCCAACACTGACATATTTATGGCATTATAATTCATCCTTAAACCTATGATATTCAACACATACATTACTTGCTTACTCGTGGAGTTAGAAAAAACACTTGGGCTTATAGGAGTGATAAAAACTGACCTCTGTCCAGAAATTGTTGAAATTAACCAAAATCTTGATTTACACCTTTTTCCCCAAAAATTTTTAAATTATTTTATTCTACAGCTGTCAAATAAAATGCAAAGAAAAATATTTCTTTCAAATAAAATAACTGTTCTTTATGGAAAACTATTTGTTGAAAAAATACAAAGAAATTAATAAAAACATTTTAAAAGTTTCAAATCAATTTTTCATTCACACTGTACCAACAGCTGTATTTCTTACAGCTTTCATCTTACAGAACCTTCTGCTCAAGTTTGAGACACTCATAAGTCTCATAACTTCTGCAGAAGGAAATACCTCACAAAAGAAATTATGTGTAGGATTTCACGGGCCTTGGACAGTCAGATTCAAACACTGACATCTGAGGTCTCATTTCTTGAACATATGGAAGAAGAGTGGTTAAAGATTTAAGATCAATAGCTCTGCTGCAATGATTCTCTATTGAAAGATGAAGTAGAAAACCCACCCAGAACTCAGAGAATCACTGCTACTTTATACACATCTCTCCACAAATATGGATTTAAGTGGCTTTTTGCTAAATTACAGCCTGTAGGTGAATGGCTGAAGAAGCCATTATCATCAGGTTCAGCCTTGAGAGAGATAGAAAAGTTTCTTATGATTCCTAGGCAGAGTCACAGCCAGGACTGGGATATCTGCTGGAGACGTGGTGGCCTCTCTACAGCACATCATGATGAGATAGCTGCTTTGCATTGCTTATGATCTAATACAAGACAAAACACCATGATTTTCACAATTATGTGGCAAGAGATTGATAGTACCCTGTGTTTTCCAACTGCGAGTCACCTCACTTAAGTTATACATGGTAAAGCCATGGAGCTTTGTCTTTACCAGTCATATAATTAAGCACAGTCTTGTTTTGGCTCTAGAGGTACAACTAAACACTGAAGTCTCCAATCCCACTCACAACATAAGAAGGAAACAACTGATCTGAAAACAAATTTACCTGGAGATAATCACTGATAATATAAATTATGATGATTCTATTAATTTTGACAGCAAACAGCACAGGCTGAAAATACACCAATTTTATTAAAAACTGAAGTGGTATGAAATTTCTAAGTATTCTCAACAGATTTTTTTATCTCAATATATTGTTATTTCCATGCAAAAGAAGAGCGATGACCAGACAGGCTATCTACCCTTTTGTTTTCTAAAGCAGGTAACAAACTGACCCCGCAGTAATCATTCTTCTCAGATTCAGTACATAGGTATTAACAGGAAATCTCTCACTCATTAAACCAGTCATCTGACTTGTTACAACAGATCAATATATTTTTAAAAGGAAATATTTTTAATACTTGTATTTTTAATTACTTTTCCTGCTTTCAAGTGTTTTTTGAACACTGATTGAATGAGTAACAATGACGATCAAACAATGAGATACAGCTCATTTGAAATATACGTTTATACAACAAAGCTGTTGAGTGTGATGACTTTACCATTTCAAACAGATTTTTCAAATGGATATAATTTGAGAGGGCTAAAGTGATATAACTAATGCCAGAAATGGAAACAAAATGTTCATTCAGGTCAAACAAGCACTATACTTTCATCTGAAGTTATTACTTTCTTCTTTTTTAATTTAAATAAAACCTACAAAATATTTATTTTTGTAGAAAAAGTTGACCAGTGACCCCGTATTCTGTGCAGCAAAGAACAGAAAAGCGCAGCCTAACTAACAAAGATAAAGGATTTTGTCTTTGCCAGACTGAAAAAAAAAAAAAAAAAAAAAAAAAAAAAGAAAACGAGAAAGTAATACACTGTTTAGAGTGTGACTATATAAAGCGTGTAATTTTTTGGTAATGAAAACACTGCACTAGGTGTCTGTGGCAAGGTTTTGGAAGTGAAGGGGCTGCAGGGGTGGCTTCTGCGAGGAGATGGAATGAGGGAATGAGAAGGTCAGTGGAGAAGAAGGTGCTCCAGGAGTGAGCAGGTGCATCCCCAGCGGGACTGTGGCCCATGGAGGACCCACGCTGGAGCCTAGGAGACGCACGAGATGGAAGGAGCAGCAGAGGGAAGTTGCTGCATGCTGACCCCGAACCCCTGCACTGCCTGTTCCCTCGCTGAAGGGACTGTCTGTGACCTGCCAAGGAACCAAGGGGGAGGAGAGGAGCCTGGAGCAATGGTCTGTCTGGGAAAGTGGGAGGAAAGGTGTTTTAACATTTGCCTTGCTTCCCAATACTTGATCAGTAATTAAATATTTATGCCAATCGGCAATAAATTAAATTCCCCAAGTTGAGCCTGTTTTGCCCATGACAGTAACTGCTGGTGTCCCCTTCTTTAGCTTGACCCATGAGTCGTTCTTTACTCCTGTTCCTCCGTTTTCTCCCCAGTCCCTCTGTCCCACCTGGGGGGTGGGGAGTGATGAGCAGCTGGGTGGGTGCTTGGCTGCCAGCTGGGGCCAAGCCATCACAAATATAAGCAGTGGGAACAACTTCTCATCATAGCTCCTAAGAAAAAAAAAAAATACAGCTAATACCCTCCAAACTCCCCATGCTGTCTGAGTGTACTCCCAGTCAGGTCATATTATATTTAAAATTGCTACATCATAAAAATACCCCTACGCTTTCCTGGTCACATAGACCAAAACTGTATTACTTTAGCAACAAGGCATAGGAAATAAAAAACAAATAAAAAAATCCCAACAAACCACTGCTTGTATAGCTTTAATGTAAGTGATATACAGTTACCACACTTAATAAAGCACGACAGCAGAAACTTTCCCTTGGGAAAGTCCAACCAATCTTGTCAGGTAACTGTACTCACCACACTGAGAAGGTGTAAGCGTGCAAACTTCAACATTAGGCCACCACAAGAAAAGACACACACTGATGTGTTGGTCAGCCTAATAATTTCTCTCACGTCCCAAATCACAACCTGATCAAGCAATTGTCCAAACGGTACATGAAACCTATTGAAGTATAAAAATCATACCTACTTCTTGCACAGCATATTTCATTTTTCAGTCTTGCTGAAGCTTATAGACCACATCAATATCCCTATCTCTGTAACTGGGTAAAAAGAAGAATAGACAGTGAAGTGGGCTCAACCTAAAGTTAACATGCAAAACAGCACCAGACCTGGGAAACAGAATCTGGACTCAAGTTCCAGTTCAGAACCCCAGTTCAGGTTATTGCACTAAAAATACTAGACTAGCATTCATTTAGACATGAAGATTTTTGTTTCTTCCATTCAAATAATTCAGAATTTTCTCCAGCCAAAAGAAATGAAGCATTCATGCATTCCAAAAAGGTGCCTTCAAAAATTTCTGATTGAGCACAGAGCATTTGTCACAAGCAGCTATGTCCTAAGCCAAACAGTAAGTTTTGCAACCTAGTGCCAAAATTGTTTCTCTCCAAGACAGACTATCCGTACTGCTGCAGGAATGAAACTTCCAATCCTGAACTCAGTCAGAAGTAGTCCTAAGAGAAGAGCCATTTGCGCAGTAGAGATCAGTTTCTATAGGCATTCCAGTTGAGACAGATAGTTCACCCGTCAGCTAGACACAAGCAGAGCTAAGCTTTAAGGATTTTTTCTGTCTTTTTCTTTTTTAGGTATTTTGGATATTGAAAACACTGGAGAATCTCTTCCTCAGAGCTGTCCTTGCCTTCTTGCAAAATCATGTGTTATTAACCTCTTGTGATTTCAAGGTTTTCATTTGCTCTCATGGTTCTGGATAGTTCCAGAGGCCAGAACAGAATCCTAGAGACTATGTGCCCTCCATGGCTGCAATAACTTTAATTAGAGGTTTTAATTAATAATCCTTTTGTCTAAAACTCACAACTAGGAAAATGACAGAACTAAGGTTTCATCAAAAATGTATTGTTGACTCAAAATTCAGTAATAAGAAAGACTCCAGAAGCCCCACTTGGGAGCAAGTAAGACACCTTATACAAAAAGTCTAGTAAGGAAACGAGGTGTTTAAGTAACAAGCTGTGTGTTCTTTAAACTAGGTGTTTAAATAAAAGCCAGTAACAGATTGAATACTGGATCACCACTTCAACTACAGTAGATGACTTCAGAACAACAAAGTGGTAGCATTACTGAGATAATCCAGACAAATTCCCATAATCACTCCATACTCAAAACGGTTCACTGGGTTAGAGGGAAGGCCTCGTCCCACTCCTGCAAATGCCTCCCTAGCAGTGGCCTAAGGAACCCACTGAGCACATCACTCTGGGCGTTCAGGATATGCAACAGCAGCTGCTCTTTGGCAGAAGAGGAAAATTTAAATTATGAAGCGTCAAAGCCATGTTTGAACATGGGACTTATGTTTATGTGGTTAAAGGCTCTCTTTGAAAAAATTACATCTCTCAAAGCAAGTAGGGCCTAGGAATCTGGTAATTTGGAAATTATGTTCTTAACCTTACAGCAATATGTTTCAAGATTGCTCTTTTTAAAGTCATTACATTTTTTCTGACTAATGCTTTTGATCCCCCTTAGTTCATTATTCTCTGTCAGTGTAAATGGAGCTCTGCTTCATCATACATACAACCCTCCAACCTACACTTGAACAATTTAACAGTGAAGTATTTTATTGTTCTGTCGACATTTCATAATGTGCTCCCCAATTACCGTACCAATAAGTCAGTCTGGTTTCCTAGACCAGACGAACACACTGCAGCACGAACAACAAACTCAAGAACCACGCTTTGACGTGCAGCCTTTATCCAGGTCCCCGAGAGATGCAATCCCTTCCCATCTCTAATCAAGTACTCGTACGCCATAATCAAGTACTCGTACGCCCTATCTACGAGAGCACTGTTTTCACGATGTAACAGGGATAAACATAATAAACAGGGGCAAAGTCTGCAAGCTTTGAAGCTCTGCCCTGGAAACATGATCTGCTCCCATCAAAGTGGTATTAATGTGACTAAGATCAGCCACTACTTCAACAAACCTGCACACAAAGCTGTTCAACTCTTTTTTACTTTACTTTTTAATAAAGTAAAGAAGACTCAGTGACAATTCTGGGAATTAATCAGTCTGAGTCAGGCACAGTTTCATATATTTAAGAAGCGTGTAAAAGACAAATTGATGATTGGCAGAAGAAATTGCAAACCTAAAAAAAAAAATAAAATACTGTGACTATGAAAAATATTTAAGAAGTGAAAATCAAATGGTGAAGTGAAGGGACAAAAGAAATTAGTGAAGAATGGATAATAGGTTTATTGTAAGCATGAAAGGGAAGAACCTGAAAACATACTGTTTGAGGTGAAAAATGGGATGTGGAAGAGTTGGGAGAATGACAAACAGGCCTAGGAGAATACAACCTAAAGTGATGGAAATAGTCAAAATGTAGAACACAAAAGAAAGAACAGTGGAGGTGGAGGCTTATATTTAAGCCTCCATGACAACCTTCTCTAGTGATTTAAGTGAGCAAAAATTATCAAATGAAATAGAATTTACAATTAAAGAAAAACCAAATGAGCAGTTAAGATGAATGTTATAATGGCTTTTTTTTTTTAATGCCCTTCTAAATATAGGTAAATTACAAATTACTTTTAAAATCATAGAATCGTTTAGGTTGGAAAAGACCTTTAAGATCATCAAGTCCAACCATTAACCTAACACTGCCATCCCATCACTAAACCATGTCCCTAAGCAAAAATTCTCTTTGGAAGACTGTATGAAACAAAAATTTGATAGAAATATTTCCAAAAATGCAAACATATACCAGCACAAACATTGCTAAAATGCTCATATTACCTATGGTCATGACATGGTCAAATACTGCACTGCATAGAGCAGGGAAGGTGTCCCCAAACTTGGGGAAGACCAAACACAGACTTCACCCTAGTTTAGTTCTTTAAACTGTATTTTAAGTTGACACAAGGACGGAAAAAACTGTAAGAGCAAGTTTTTATTACCATATGACAACAAATGTTGTTGAGAAGCAAATGAAGCATGTTGACAGCTTTATTTGTGTACGGTAAGATACTCAGCAGACTCTCAAAACAAGAATCTGCCAATCCTTTGTGAAATTTTTCCTATTTTATGGTATTTTCCTTTTGCATTCTTGACAATTCAACCTCCTTGACATCTCAACCCACTGCCCATTCATAGCAAATGGCTTCTGTCACTAAAACGATGCACAGTAAGGCCAGAAAGGTACTAACTTAACTCTTGGAAATTTGGAACTCTTAGATATGAGCTTTCATCATTTTAAGACGTTTAAATTTGCATTCTGGTGAAGAAGGTTTTTTAAAAAAAAAATAAAAATTAAAGCCTTCTAGAGAGACCAAGCGAGAAACTGCTTTAGAAACTAGAAGTTTTCCAATACACTCACCGTCCGAAGAACTTTACGATTGGGGTAACAATAATGGCACCCACAAGGCCACCAATGGCAAAAATAGAAACAGTTATAGACCAGAGGAGAGTCAGCGTGCTTTCATCCACTGAGAAGCCATATCTTCTTTCCCATGTTTCATTGTAAAACTTCTTGATATACTGAAAGAAAATACACAGTAATAGTAATACATGTAAAAATCACACTTTAATAAACACAACTGACAGAAACAGAATTTAAAAAACAACAGTAGCTTGCTTGCAGGAACCATCCTTGCTCTTCTATGTCCCTCCTCCAAAAAATGAGGCCTTGCTTCCAGATGCAACTGCAATACAGACTAACTGCAGCAGTCAAGAACATGCATGTATTTAACTACATGTCGGTCACAAACAAGGTGGGGAAAAAAGCCACAGGTAGACATGAATGTAGAAGAGGCTTATAGAAGAGCACCTCCTGTAAAGCAAGGAAGTTACCATTTAGGTTGTCAGTACAACATAGACAGCCTTACTGTCTACCCATATATGAACATTTAAGCCTGAACTGGGGCTACGGGCTCGGACACAGAATGGTTGAGGTTGGAAGGACCTCTGGAGACCATCTTCTCCAACCCTCCTGCTCAAGCAGGGCCACCTAGAGCCAGCTGCCCAGGACTGTGCCTAGAGGTTTTTCAATACCTCTAAGGAGGGAGGCTCCACAAAATCACGCCACCCATGCCTGGCAAGGTGCTATACGTCAGCTGAGCTCCGCTCACTGCTCACACCCGTACTCTTAACCTCAGGCAGGTGATGTATCACATCCCAGCATAAGGTTTTTTGGACAAGGCAAACAAAACTGCACTGCCTAGCATTTGCAATGCCTTTTAAAGAAAAGAGCATGCACAAATGTTAAAATGCTAACTACCATTAATCAATTAATTTGTTGAGTCACTGATCATTAATCAGGCTCTTACATTAGGAGCAAGTAGTTTTACTGCTTTTTCATTCATCTATAGTACCCATAACCTGGAAATAAAAAAAGAGGGAGGGAAGGAGGTTCCAGTAGCAGGCAGAAGTGAAAAATCTCTTAAAGAAGTTGGTGAATTGGCAGAAATGCACAGGTAACAAAGAGGAAGGGAGTTGCAACCGATTCCTGCCAGCTGGCAACATGACTGACATCAAGAGTTTGGCTTGCCTTACAGGACACAGCACCAAGTGCCATACGTTGGTAGGTTTGGGGGCAGGGTGGCGGGGGGAGAGTTCACATATAACTTCAGAAATTCCCTGAAAAAACACTTAGAGATGCTTTAGAAGTTATGTAAGTAGGAATTCTTTTGGTAAAAGCCTACACTGTACTCACCATGAAACAATATTTATCACCTCTATTTTGTATTTCAGTCCTAAAATGTAATCTCAGATTTGCTCAAAATGAAGTGCCTTTCACTAGACTGTTTTTTCCAAAGGGCCAATATTGTAAAAGTAAGTGACTCTAGCAATTCTTCAGCATAACACTAGGAAAAAAAAACAGAATTGAAAATAATTGGCATTCATTAATTTGAGGGAAGAAGGGAGGCTGTGTCCACTTTTACACTGTATTTATGACACTGCCGCATCTGGCAGCCATACAAAATCAAGGACCTACTAAGCCAGGCAATGAAAGATAACATTTTTCTCCTAAAGAATTTACGGCCAAGACAAATAAATGTTAGAGGAGGGAAGCAAGAGCTGACAGCTGTTGGTTTGATACTGATGGCAGGGGGGGAAGCCCACAGCAGCAGTCAAAAAGAGCTAGTTGTCTGGCACCGTTACAATTAAGAATCCCAAATCATTTTTATGTTATAGTTTCTCCCTTTCAAATTTACATAAGTTGCTTTTTGAACAAAGCTCAGGCTGCTAAACAAGGTAAACAATTTCTTTTCAGTAATAAAAGATGTATCAAACATGAAATCAGACACCTAAGAACCTGACACGAATATATCTGCCAGACAAGCTGGTTTTCTTAAGAAATGAAAATCTGAAACCCATCTTCTAACTCTTTGGCTATCCCAAGACCTACACTTTTCTCCCATGGCAACCTAATTTCCTTAAGAGCTTTCCATAAGGGCCCTTCCAGGGTATCTTTTGAAAGTCCAGGAGCCTCTTGTATATCTGGAGAACTCAGATGCCTGAATCACGGTTCTCCTTTGCAAAAGCCATGCCAGCTCTTCTCCAAATTCTCACTTTTCTACTACAGTTTCTGCTAGTTTGTCAGGTACAAGTAACTAATTCTTAACATGAATGTTCCAAATTTTCCCCCTAAAAACTATTTTTTTCTTAAAGTCGCATTAACCCTCTCAGTCTCCTTGTTCCTGAGGCTATTTAAAAAGAAGCTGAACTGTGATACGAAGCCTATATTTTGAGTTATTTTTTCAGTCTTGAACAAATGCTAAGGTATTTTGGCAACCTGACACAAAATTATCACTAATTTTATTCCATATCTCTACTGACATTTCAGCTTCTCCAATAGAACCCCTATAAAAAAGGTTCCAGCATGGGACCTCCCCAGACTTCTCTGATCCAAAACATCAATTCAGGTTTCTTGTTATGTCCTTGTATTTTCTGCACTCCCTTTTTCAGTTTCATCTAGCCTTCAATATATCAGAGTTTATATTCTTTTTCTGCTTCCCTCACGTCAGCACAACTGCAGGTTTTTGAAGGACGCCTTGTAACTACTTCCCTTTCCTGATGTTTAATTACACCAAAGTTTCTTCATCTTTCTAAAAGGTAAAGATGGCATAGCTCCAGTACGACATTTTTAAACAATCTCTGTATTGCCTGCAGAGACATCGCCTATTTACTTTCTTTTTAGTCAAGCTTCCTCATTTTTATGCTGTTCTCATTTCGAAATCAAGCAAAGCTCTGATGCCACCGTGGCGCCTGATGCTCTGGCAAGGATGCGGCCCCAGGCTGTCACCGCTGCGTAAGGGCACGGCACGCTTGTGTAACGCTCTCACCCGTTCTGAGTCGCTGCTCCCCAACATGCTCTGCAGCATCACAAAGTTTAATTCTTGGCACTTTTCCCCAGCTTCTGCTCAGATTTCCTCCAGCATGCCATAGCTACTAAATTACCCTGAGGCAGCACTCAGCAGTATAAGCCTAACACATTTTCCCTGTTCAAACTAGGAATTTCTTTAAGTATTCCAGCCTTGGACATGTGGACTGTTCAAACTGAGGACTTTATTTGGTTTGAAACACTACCTCTCCACCTGCAAAGTACCCAAGAATGGTGGAGGTAGAATGTACCGCTTACTGTCTTCCTTCTATCAAGTTTCTTGTCAGCCTCTTGTGCCTTGAATTAAGAGGAAGACAGGGATATTTCTCCCATCCCATCTTACATGTTTCTATACAAACAGACAGGAAAAAAAAAAAACAAACACAAAATTTGGTGCTTGGCTCACTTAGAAGAATCTCACAGTAAACTTTCAATCTGACATTAAATCAAGTAGTACTTCTTATCTCTTTAACACCAACACTCAGATTATATTTAGATTCAGGTATCTCCTTGTTTATTTGAATTTCATTTCTGATAGTAATGAATACGAAGAGAAAACACTTTTAGAATACTATTAGCATTTCTTGCTAATGATTATGGCTAAAAATAGCATGCAAATTATTCTTCCCTTGTGTTATGACTAATTTTTTCAGCATAGCTTTGTTATTTACAAGGAGACATCAAATATCTGCAAATGTTCAAGAAAAGAAAGTACAAACTACAACACTCAATAGGAACAGATAAATGTGCTGGCATGTGCAGCACCTGTGTCTGGATTCCCACTGACAACAAATGGGAAGCTAATAACACGTACAGGTCTTGAGGAGTTGCACATGAAAATGAAAACCCAAAGAACAAAACAAGTCTGACCCAACAAACCCACTGGATTTGAATCCATTGAATTCTGTGGAAAGGCTCCTTTGAGATTTTAATCAGTTGTCTGAACAACACTAATGGCACAAATGTGTATACAAAAATTTTAGCCCTTAACCAAAGCCTACAAGGAATGGTAGCTGACTGGTATCAGTATCTCGTATTCTGCTGCCTCAGTTCATTAAGGTAGTAGTGCTAGGGTGGGAAACATAAGGGAGATATATATATATATATATATGTTTTAATGTATTTATTAAGCATTTTTACTAGAAAATGTCCCGTGCAATAATGTAAGCTGCAAGAGCGTACGGCGTATTTTTTGCTAATGATTATGGCTAAAAATAGCATGCAAATTATTCTTCCCTTGTGTTATGACTAATTTTTTCAGCATAGCTTTGTTATTTACAAGGAGACATCAAATATCTGCAAATGTTCAAGAAAAGAAAGTACAAACTACAACACTCAATAGGAACAGATAAATGTGCTGGCATGTGCAGCACCTGTGTCTGGATTCCCACTGACAACAAATGGGAAGCTAATAACACGTACAGGTCTTGAGGAGTTGCACATGAAAATGAAAACCCAAAGAACAAAACAAGTCTGACCCAACAAATCCACTGGATTTGAATCCATTGAATTCTGTGGAAAGGCTCCTTTGAGATTTTCATCAGTTGTCTGAACAACACTAATGGCACAAATGTGTATACAAAAATTTTAGCCCTTAACCAAAGCCTACAAGGAATGGTAGCTGACTGGTATCAGTATCTCGTATTCTGCTGCCTCAGTTCATTAAGGTAGTAGTGCTAGGGTGGGAAACATAAGGGAGATATATATATATATATATATGTTTTAATGTATTTATTTTAAATATAAGGGAAATACTTTCCTTGCCTCTTGAACTATAAATAACTTCCATCAAGGGAAGAGATAAGCTGGTCTTTAGAGAAGAAAAATGACCTTACCCATAGTTACAAGGGTCATTCCCACATAGAGACAACTATCCAACTGGCCGAGACAGCAGGCTATGCATTTTTGCAACAGTCTCGCTTTCCCTGTATCAGCTCTAAAAGGAATGCAGAGCTGCAGCCACCTGCAGGAAGGGGGCAAGGGCTGCGCGGCAGTAAGTAGCAGAGACTTCGCTTCCGCAGAGAGCACAAAGCACATCGTTGTTCCACAGACCTTGCCCATAACCAGTCCATGGAATGAATTGTAGAAATTCAGCTCAGAAAAAGACAGCTTTGACTTGTATTCAATTAAAGCATGTCCTCCTACTGCCAAATGCTCCCATACGTTTTTAATAAATTCCAGTAACTCTTTGAACAAGCCCATGAGGACTTCTAATTCTGGGTTTCTCCTGTGGCCAAGCACAGGGGGAAGCACACCTGCGATGGGCCACTGCTCTTTCCCACAGAAAAGCCAGGGAGTGAGTGGGAAGTGCTCTCTGCTCCGAGCAGAGCTGGTGCAGTTTATTCCCCCTTTGCAATAACACAGAAGTTGGACTGACTCTACCTTACGAGATGACCTGCAGTAAAGTTCACCAGTGAGAACTGCAGGTGTATTCCCCTGTGGTTTGATGAGCTGGTGTATCTTTCAGCACCGAAAGGGAACATATACGAGAGTTCACAAACAGTTCTTGAGTGCTTCAGTCTTTACTGAACTTTCCCCCTGCCCCAGCTCAGTCATCATGCTGATGTGTTTGGTTCCAGGATCCTGGAAACATCCCATGTTTTAGTGAGCAGTCATTATAAGGCATTTTCTCAATACCTCTCAAAGCATCATACAGTCCTCCCCCAAGGTTGGAGGAGTTTAGGCATCAAAAGAAACTGTACTGAAGTAAATAGGGGCAGAAGAGATCCAACACCTTACAGAGAGATGCTCACAGAATGCAGGCTGTAAGCCGCACGCCACCAGAACAAGTTATTTGTCCTACCAAGTTTATAAATGAAACTGAGCTTACAGCTTTTAGGAATTACTGCACTCCCAATATAACCTGTTTATCTACAGCGAAAAGCTGCTCCCCTTCGATTTTCCTCAGTCACCTCACATCAGCATTCCCAAAGGGTGTGACTTGCAGCAGACTGATTCAGTGTCAAATGGGGGAAAACAGATGGGGCAAAGGCTCCTGTTCGTGTGCTGCAAGCAGCACAGCTTTGGTACGGCTCGCTCCTCCCCACCACGGCTATGAGCAGAGCCCAGACTCTTCCCTTCAACCTGGCCACTGCAGCTCCAGGGACGGGAAGGTGGCCTGCCCTAGGCAAATGGATGGCACAGATTAACTCTGGGGCTAGCGAGAGGACCACAGGCCACACTGGTATTTTGCCCTTGAAGTACACAGCTATGTATTCCTTGTCTGTAGAGCGTGTAACTAAGTCTGCTCCTTAGCCCAAGCTAATGTATGGCTTAACATGAATAAGAAGGACACAAAGTTCTCAAACAAACACTGCAACACCACACTAGAAAAGGGCAGGCGTCATGCATACCTGTCAACAGCATGACCACAGCCATCAACACGGTGCCCAGCTTCAGTCCAAAAGCAACAGTAAAGATTTCAAGCATAAACAGACAGTCTTGGAAGTGCTACTAACCACAAAGCCTGGAACTTAGCATTTGTCACGGTGCAGTTGCACCTTCAATCTACCCACCCACACTCTGGTCACCACTATAATCTACCACATGGTTCAAACCTACCCATCCAAGTGTTGCCAAAGAGCATGCCGTATCACCCTTTCTTTCTTTTACTCCTGCAGAAAGTGGCAGGAGAGCTCCGATTACAAGGACAGCTCATTTTTTAAATGGTGCTTAAACCTTAAAAACTGGATCATTCTCACTGCTCTGTTGACAGGACCGAGGCAGCGCAGGAAGGATGTCTACCATCAGAACAGTCAATACCATAGCTCACAGAGTTT